TCAGCAGACTGAGCGCAATAGTCCGCCATGTGGAGCCTTGCATCTGGGCATTGGGTTCGAAAGTTGATTGGTATTATAGATATATGGGAATTGAAGGAAGCCTGCCAGCTCCACCCCTGATCAACCCCTGATCAATGAAATCTTTACAAATGGGGGGTGCAACCCGATTTCTTGTTGCCCTGGTCGTTGATCCACAGCTAGCTACATGCAAAGTGCAACAATCACTATTCGTTTCAAGGGGCAGCAGCAGCGGAGCGCCCAGCTTCAAGAGGAGCTGGGAAGCTCTCCGGGAGAGCGCCAAGGGACATGTTTGCCATGACGAATCGTCCCCGGGCATGACTCGGGTGAAAACACTAGGCTAGCTAGCTAGTGAAAACTAGGTCGGAGCACCCAAACAGATCGCTTGATCGAGGAAAGCACGAGACAGTTCGTATGTCACGCATGCAAACGATACTGGATGAATTGTTCCACAAGTTGCCCATGAAATCAAAGTTGCAGTACACAACATGGACTCATTGTCGCTCACTTGCTTTGACCACTTAGCTACAACTCTGGGCTGCCCAATACCAGATTCGGTATGCACCCTAGCCAGAACTGATTGCTAAGAAAAGGTATCAATTTTAAACATATGGCTAAACTCCCCAACGAACCCAGCAGCACCAACACTCTCGAATATATATTTATATATTTATATATATACTGCATGCACGCATCACGCATGCAGATCCATAGATCGATAGATCGATCAAACAATAAAATAGTTCTGCCTATGCTGGGCTTTGGTGGGGTACCCGCGACTCCGGTGAGCTGCACGGGTGGCTCTGCTCAAAATCCACCCAGCCGGCAATCTGCTTCGCCAACCGCCACCTCAGGCTGCAAACATTGCAATCACGACCGATTTGGATAGAAGATGATAGAAGCTTTCGTGCAAGAGAGCAGCTCATGACTTTTGACTGCACTCATTGGGAATCTAGAATATCAAGAAATTGCTTGTTCCACCGATAGCTGGGATTTGGACGACAAGATGGCTCCCCTCGTGCTCCAATAAAGAGACACACCATGTTTCTTGTTCACCTCGTTCCAGTGGTCGAAACATGATCTATATTTGTTGTGGCTAGATCGAAAGAGTTAGTTTAGAAGGGACTCACAAAGTATCAGCCTTCAAACTCATGGCATTCTTCTCATTGATGAAGTTCACTGCGACGACACTGGCTTTGTTCACGTAGAACCCTGCAGGGTGCTGCCTCATGGGTTGTGAAAACGGGTGCTAGCACAGACTTGAGTGGTATATGTGAGTCTCCGGCAAAACTCCGATCGATGAAGGGGATTCAGAAAAGGCTTTCTCTGGTGGCTGCACGGTGAACGACCTCACTTCAAATTCTTGGTCCAAATAGGCAATGCTGATGTCCTAATCTCAGGTGAGGCTATGGCTTGACTTTGTGCAAGTCCGAAGCTCTTGGCACCTTGAAGGACGGGTCTTGGTCGGAAAGGGCATGGAGACCAGACAGATTCCATCCCTGCGCACACAGTAGGTTGCACATCGATCGATCTCTGCAAAATGGACTGAATACCAGCTAGCCAGGAATCAGTATTGAAAGACGTGTGATCCTGCTGTGCATGTTTATTTGACAGAACTTGACGGCCGCCTCCTGCTCCTTTTCTCTTTTGGCCTCACTCTTTTCCTGTTCTTTATCAGTGTTCTTCTTCTTCTTTGCTTTGCTTGCCGCCTCTTTGGTCTCACCAGGCCCTTCCTCAGCATCAGCTGCTCCACCATTTGCAGCCTCCTGTGAATTCCTCTTCCTTCCTCTCGGCTTGGCCTCCTTTGCACTCTTCACCTTCTTGTGCGCTTCATCATCATCACTATCATCATCAGTTCTCTTTGTCTTTGTCTTTCTCTGATTCCCAGACTCTTCCTGGGCCTCCTCTCTTTCCTCGGGATCTCGTTTCTTCTTCTTTTCATTGCCTTTCTCATCTTTCTTCTCAATTGGCTTGCTGTTGTCGTTACCTGTCTCTTTTCCCCTCCCTCGACCTCTGCCACGTCCCTTTCCTCTGCCCTTTCCCCTTCCCTTTCCTGTGCCTCCCTTCTTCTTCTCGTTATCCTCATCATCTTCCGAGCTTTGCCCATCCCTGTACTTCCGATCAGGGTCTTCCTCCTCCACCTCGCCTTCTTTTAACGACTTCTTCAAAGCTGCTCTGACCTTTCGTTGGGCCTTCCGGGCAGTGCAGTGCGGTGACAACATGTACCGGTTCGTTTGGTGTACATCAATCTAATTAAAATTAGATGCGGTTTAAACGGTAGCTCGCCTTGACAAGATCGTTTGAGTCCATTGTCAGCTCCTCAAGTTCTTTACACATTTCTTCCACCCTTGCTTCCAAGCTTGCTCTCTCCATAGGCTTAGAACAGACAGGCTTTCGATCCTGGCAAACAGAGGGCTCACTTTGTGCGCTAGCTACTGGGAAACAGAAAAATTGGTGGTGAAAACGGTGGGCACGCAGTCCTTGTTCAAAATCTTTTCCGGTAGATTGCCTTTGATAGCATCCTCGTCATCACTAGTGATTTCGCGTGGGGCGCCTTCAAGATCTCGAAGATTTGGAGGGTCACTCTTTTGTGATAGGCCCATCTGGTTGTCTGGGTACTCGAGCCATTCTGGTGGAGACTCCTCGACGTATACAACATTTGCTTTCTTTGAGCTCTCTTCCTTCTGACGTTCCTGTTCCACTTCATCATCATCACCCTCAACCTTCTCAGCAGGTGCAATCGGATCCGGTCCATTGTTGACTTCTTTCATCTCGCTTTTCTTCCTCTCCTCGTCTTCGCCTTCGCCCTTCTCGTCCTCCTTCTTTTCTTCAGTCGACTGCTGAATCTCACCTCCCTCTTCCTTGGTGTTTTTGCCTGCCTCACCTTTTGCTTCAGCATCACTTTCTTGCTCTTCGTCCTCCTGTGTCAGCTTCACCTCATCGTCATGTCCATGGACCTCCTCTTCCACTTCAAAAGGTAAACTCTCATGATGCTCACCCAGCTTTGCCACCTCTTCACCATTCTCCTCTTCCACCACTTCAACGACTTCTTCCGCTTTGCTTTCTTCCGTCGACGTGAAGCTTTCCTGCCAATCTTTGAGGATAATCGACCGACCGATTAATTAATATAATAGGAGCAACAAATAATTAAATTCATGGGCCGACCTGGGATTCTCTTTTTTTGGGCCCTCGTGTAGCAACTTTGCGGCCATCCTCCCTGAGGAGCCCAGCCTCCTAGCCAAGCCGATATCAAACAAGAAACTACTAGATATTGCACCAATCTCAGGGGTCCTCCAAAGTTGCGCGAACGATTTCTTTCAGTTCGTGCATCCGGGGATGGTTTGGCCTGGGCAGGGGGCAAATGCTCCATGTGCATGTATAGTGTGCATGTTGCAACTGTACACACTAGCTATATAGGCCTCGCTTTGGCATTCTTCTGGAAGCGTGTGAGCACGTATGCAGCGAGTCCACGATGGAGGCTTGATTCTGTGATACTCCATGCCTCCACCGAAAAACATGTCGATCAAGGCCCTAGTTGGGGTTGTGGCGAACTGGTTTTATCTATATAATATACTTGCCTCATGCTCGAACTTGTCCCTGAACTGGGGGTTGAGCACGAAGTGCATGCTGACCCACTCCAAAGCAATCTGGCCGACAGGCAGAAAATGTTGGAACTAGTTGGGCCCTTTAAACATGGAAGGTATGCCTCTCCTTCCCTCTTGCGAGGCATTTTGGCTGCAAATGTAGCCAAATAATTTGCCACCAGCGGATAGTTGATGCGGGACTCCACCTGAAACCAAAGGTGGATGCATGAGACCAAACATGATATAGATTGAATATATTAACTAGTATATATTCTCCACTGCATGCTTACATCCTATGATCAGCTGAACAAGCAGCCTCGTCCTCGGTGATTTCCAACCGCTTTTTCTTCCTCTGGGGACTTTGGTTGTTATTGGACTGGGTGGCGGCATTGGACTGGGTAGACGCATCCTGGTCGTCCCCCTCGGACTTGAAACCAATCTCGACCATGGAGAATTTAGGCACCTGGGAAAATATCGACCATGAAAATCCGGTATGAGCAAGTGAGAAATCGATCCAAGTGTCCAGTGTTTAATTGAAGTCGAACGAGGTTTATCAATCTAGGTGACCAACTCGCCGGTCCTTCGTGGACAATCCCAAGCGCGCTTTGATTTCCCCCCTCCGGTCAGCAACATAGTTTTCACCAGCTGACGTGATGAAGTCCTGGTAAAAGGCCTGCCACTCAAACGCCCACCCAACAAATATTGTTTAAGCTACTAGCCTAGCCAAAAGGATTCAATGGATTGTTTGGCAGCTTCATGTTCTGATGCGCCTTCAGGAGTTCTACCATCTCTGCGCGAACTGGTGCCGGCATTGCTGCAAACAGAGATCAAGATTAGAGAAAAAAAGGTTTTGGCAGCCAGTACCATGTGCGTGTTTCAAGCTCTAATTGGCTAATGTTTTGTGGTCCCAAATCCATTAGCCGTTCAAGAGCATGAGCCTAAGTCACAGTATACAGGGCACAACCATGGGCGCATTCATGCCACACATCTTCAAACATAAAACATCAGAAGCATTGGCGCAGTGGGGGGCGCACAATCTCGTGCTTCTTCAAAATCATCCAGCAATCGTGAAGCAAGGGCGGCACGCAAGGTCATTGCATTGCATGATTGATCAATCAATCTAGCTTGCAGTGTTGATTCCAAGTCTTCTAGTGTCTTGGAAAGTGTGTGCAGTAGGTTGATAAATATGAACAAGGTCCTTACTCATGGCCACTCTCATGGCTTTGATCCCAGAGGCCTGCCCTCCATGGAGCCTCTCCACAGACCCCCCCCTGGCAAGGCCTATAAACGTCCGCCAGATCCAGGAAACAGTCTAGACGGTTTTTATATGGGCTGGACGGTTTAAAGAATAGTCGAGGACGTTCTGGGGAAAGCATCACCACAGGTGTGGTCCCCGGCCTGCTGACCCAGGGAAGTTTCTCGCGGCCAGTGCGGCCACACGCACGTCGTGTGGGAGGCGAACGGTCTTGAAGCCTTGGGAGGCCACATGAGGCACGGTCAAAAGTGATTCTCTGCTTCTATTGCATCATAATCATCTGTGAGCCGCCTCTCATTTACCCAATGTTTTAGACTTTTGTTAAAGGATACTATAGATTACTACAGTGTTTCTTTTTGGTGATTCCTCTATCATTTGCCAGGGTTTTGGAGCTATATATTGTGCAACGTTCTTGTGCAAACCACATCATCGCACACTTCCAAAGCACATGGCGGACGCATGTGGAGATTCGGAGAGGAGACGCTGTGGAACGTCCAAATCTCCACAGCTTGCAGTGCCCAGCATGCAAACTCCTATTCTCGGACTGGAGGGCAGTTCCAGCGGTCATGGCACACGAGAAACGGGTGGACTCACTCACCGTAGCGATTTCGATCATGCCTGAGTAGTCCAAAAGCTCTTCGTTTCTGGGGAAGAACCGGTCGGTGCCCCAAACCGCGCCGCTCCGGAGAGCTTCCGCCGCGCTGCTCGTGGAGCTGCTCGTGGAGATCACCTGCACCTGGAGATCCCATGAGATCGCGGCGGCGGAGGCGTCCGAAAAGCGGAACTCGCCCAGAAAAGCGGTCCGGGTGTGGTTTTTCTTGGTGGCATGACCCAAACACTCCATGGGATTGCCATATATGCCGATCAGTTGGAGTGGTTTGGGGGGTCAATGTATAGGCATATATGGCATACATGGAGTCTCTGGGTGATGTGACCATCGTGATTTTTTTGTGCCACCCGTGGTCAACGGGCTGCGTACGTCAACAGACTCGGCTTAGACCACCTCAGTTGAACACATGTCACTTGAAGTGGCTTTCGACTTTCGATGGACGGTCTGTTTGTCCCTCCCGAACCTCAGGAGAAGGAACACGACCGTGACACCGGAAAATAGAAGCGTCGAACCCGCTCACCTTCGATAGTAAGGTGGCAGTGGATCCCTATAGGCAGGGCTTACGTATACATGAATCAAAGGAACAGTGTCAAGTACGGAGCCATGATGATGGTATGGAGTCTTGGGGGTTGTCGTCTGTGTCGTCGTTGTTGATCTTTCCAAAAATTCTACTCATACCGTTGTTCATCTTTACTCATATTGCCGGATGAATCTCGAATCCTGCACTCCTACACTCTATCTTGCTGTGTTCTGTCAAAAGCATCATGTCAAAAGAACCCTAGTTATAACCACATCCACATCACGCCTCACCGTGGTGCACGTGGGGGACCCCGCCTCATGATGAACTGCCAATGCCGCCTCATCGGGGCCCACAAAGAGCACCACGTTCAAGCCGCCTTCGAAACCACCCCAACGCCTGCATTGACGTTGTGTGGCGCATTGACGTCGTTGTCGTGCTCGTGTGGAGGTTCCCTTTTGCTATACACACCGACTTCGTCGTACCTCCTCAGGTTCGGTATGACTGGGACCCGAAAATGGCACCCACCCCTGTCCCACCTTCGAATCGCATGTACTGGAGGCCGACTCGGGTTCCTCAAATGGCAGTTCACCTCGAGTTCGCTGGGCTCTTCACGTCATAGGATCTTTTGGCTGGGACATGTGACAAGTCAAGGCTGTCGGAGCACGGAGCACGGAGTGGGACGCGCCACTCCGTGGGACTCCCAGTCAGTCCCGCTTGATCAAACCAAAACATCATCCCTCTTCAAGCCATGTGTGATTCTTCAGGTGAAACAAAACAGTTGTATACAGCATTATGCAGTTACAATATATATATTTTATATATATATATATACATGCAATAAGCGCTGTCGCTTCTGTCTACCTACGTATACTGATGTCTACGCGAGTCCCACTCCGCAAGTTGGTAAAACTAACAACCTTGGAACCCCGAGCGACCGTTGATCGTGGCTGGAACGACTCATTTGAGTGGTCCTGCCAAACTGAAAGGTGCATCGAGGTCAACTGCTGAAGAGGTGGAGAAGTTGGGAATGCTCATATTGAGCCTGTTCCCGCGGTAGAAATCGCGCGTGATCTCACGCAAGACATCGGCATAGCTTGGGTTTGGAGTGCGCATGCCAGCAATCGCCTTGGCCAGCATGTTCGTGAGAAAGTAGGATCCCCGCAATGAAGGCCCGCTTTGGTCACACCACGTCTGTTGAGTTTCCCGGTCTTTGCAACCTGACAAGCAAAGGACACTGGCCGCACATGGCCTGCCTTTCAATTCTTTGCAAATCAAAGGCCGCTTGTCGAAGTTGAAACCAGGGGGTGGTGGCTCCTGTCGCCGTGCGCGTGCCATCTCCTCATCCTCCACCTGCACCTCGTAGGAGTGCTTTAGATCTGCCATAGTCTGGCTGTGACAAGCATCAAAGATGGTGGTGAGGCGCACCCCCTTAGGCAGATCTTTCAACATCTGCTCAAAAATCTCGTCATCGCTGATCGCACGGCCCAGAAGGTCATCTGCTTCTTCCTTCTCCAAGGAGCCCTCGAGTGCAGCTGCAAACTTGGGATGTTGCCCTTGGATGACAGGACAGATGTGCTCGTCCTGGCCATCCTCTTCATCACCGTCAGCGTCTCTGGACTGCCCACCATGACCTGCAAAGAAGAAAAGCAGATTGTCTCCAGGCTTCGCATCTTGCACCAGCCATTTCATAGAGTTCAGGATGTTCTTCCGCGTGGGTGCCTCATGTGTCACAGCCCAACCACCTGGCTTGGTGGCATCAGTCAAGATCTTCAGCTCTGGAGTCCTGACCTTGGCGTGCTGCAACGCAACCTGGATGTCTTCCAAGGCACCAACCGATCCGAGGAGTACCTCAAGCCGACCCAGCAAGGGTACGTTGTGCTGGCTGCTTTGGTATGTGGGTGCAACCAGAACGGCCTTCACCACTGGTGCATCCCCTGGCACTGGAGGTACAGGAGGGATCGGCTGTTGGTTTGGAAAGGGCTCCATCGACTCCGTGCCTCCCATGGGCATCCCGTGGCCATCGGGCCTTCTGCGGCTGTGGCCGTCTTGGATCTGAGCCACCAGTGCATCAAGCTCGGCCATCTTCAAGTCCACGAACGCTGGATCCGTCCGGAGGATCTTTCCCATGTCGAAGGTGGCGTCGCCCAGCGAGTGGAGGTGACCCGCGGAGCGTACCTCTTGGTGGATCGCCAGCTCGTGTCGTCGACGAGCTTCTTCCTCCGTTAAGATCTCCTCGGTTGAAAGGTCTGGAGCTACGCAGCACGAGAGCATTGGAGCAAGATCCAGCAAGACTTCCACGCTACGCTTTGAAAGAGAGCCCGAGCCTGGGATGATGGCCGCGGAAGAGATCCGAACAACACACTCAAAGAACAAGACTGTAGTCCAACCGCTGCCAGTTCCATAAACCCTTTTCTTCGCATGTGTTTCTTGCTTTTTGTGGCTGAGCTGTTCTTTGTTCTTCCAAGAAATCGCTATTCAAGTGCTGCCGTTCTACCAACACAAAAATTCCAATGTCTGGGTGCTTCCCTATTGAAATACACACGGGGACCTGTGAGCTTCCCCCGACCCATCGCCTCAGCAACGAGCCCTCCAAGCTCCACAGAATCGCCTCGTCCTGTGGGGCCACCGGGTCTTCCGTGAGAGACAGGGACTCTTGTCCAAAGCATCCCTACACCTCCACCCTATGGATCCACTGCCACCGAACCAGGATGAACCAGTGAGCAGGGAGACAGGCTTATGTAGGCGCCAGCCAGTCGGGTCCAATTGCCTTCTGAGAAGGTGGCAGTGGATCCATAGGGCCACGTAATTACCTCCTCAGGTTCGGTCTGACTAGACCCTCCTGGCCCCCGGGCCCCCTGTCCCACCTTGTCAGAAGGTGCGACTGGAGGCCTAGGGCATGTCTCTCACACATATACTAACATTGCCCATCATTGCCCCCTGAAAGCACCCGAAGAGTGGGCATCATATTATCCATACATGTCCATACCCATGACATGGAGTGTCTGCTTTTGGTTAGAACTACATGGAGTTCACAGCCCGGCTTGGACATGACTTGCTGATGCTCACGTCATCTGAGAACTGTGACTCCCTCATCCGACAGATCCATCACGACAAACCTCGACAAACCATCTGCCGTGACCGTGACAGAACTTGAGATTGGATTCTCACACACTCTTGAGTCTTGAGTAAACTGAACTAGATTCTTTACAAATCCCAGGATTCTTTACAGGCCTGTAAACAGCCTATTGGATCGGATCTTCTTTTTCTGTGCCCCGACCGGACGCCGACGGACGCGCGGCTCCTTGTCCCCCGACAACACCGTGTCGCCGTTCAGGTCGACCGTAAGGACGGCCGTCCGGTGACCCAGAAGCTCCAGGAGCATCCGGCAGTCTTGTGTCAAATCCCACACCTTCCTAGGAGCTGAAAACGGCTGAGACCGGCGATCGCATCGTTTTCTTTGGTGCGAAAAAGATGAACGGGTCGAACGGGAACCTCGCGACCTCGAACGGGGGTTGGGTGTGTTTAAGGCATGCTGGGGCTCAAAAGGAATTGTTAATACCTATTAGCAGGGTCTGGGTGTCAATCCCTGACAAAACAGAACGAGAATCAAAGTAGTCCTCAATGAACTGTGAGCTCTGAGCGGAGAAAGGCAGGACATGCCGTGTATTGCACCGTGTATTGCGTTTGCAGAATGGAATTGTGCCTCTCCCCACACATTCCGAAGATTCATCATCCGTAGTGAATGACCGGGCTACAGAAATCGGAGCAGGACGGAGTCATCAGGCTACAATCAGGCTACAGTCATGATACCTTGAGCATGATGATACCGTGCTTCCAACCCATTGTATGTGTTTATTTTACTATAATAATGTCTTTGTTGAAGAACAAAAACTCCAATAAGGCATATGGGGACTGCCTGAGAACAGTAGCCAACATCTTGTACCCCTAGTGGCTAGTAAGGCTAGTAATTAGCTTGATTTCATCACTAGAAACAAAACATGTTCGTGACTTGTTTCTCCTTCTCCAGTTCATGTGCGCACGTGTTCGAAAAGAATTACTGCCAAACCAAGATTCACTGAGAGATCGTTTGAAGCACTGGCCAGCAACGTCCCGTCTCGGTTTACAGCAAGGGATCTCACCTTGGACGCAAGGCTTTTTACCAAACCAAGGGCGGCATCTGCCTCCGAGCGACGACGAAGTCTGAATAGGCCAAGTCATTCAGGTGAGGACCTTCTCATAGAAACAAAAAGAGACGAACTGGGCAGCATGGGAACGACTGCAACATATGTGATGATTCTGCGCATTAGATACCCCCCTTACCAGGCCCTTACCTGCTTTTCGACCCTCCCAGTCGCTCGCCGGCGTTTCGACCCTCGCGTGTTTTGGGGCCCAGTGGACCCAATCCTGGTGCAGCTGCAGGGTGCGCTGCAATGGTCCGCCGACGCCCTGCAAGGTCCCGGGCGAGACCTGGGCGAGCGCGGTCTTGGACCTTGAGACCGGGTGTGACTGCTGCCTGTGCCCCGGAGGTTCTTGGGGCGCGAGGCTTTTTGGGATCTTTTTGGGGCTTCTGAAGCACTTGAAAGAGCACAGCAAGAACAACATTGTTTTTGGTTTCCATGAAAGTCTGCTGCCAAATAACCGGGATCAGGAAGTCTTGAATGTTGCCCAACCATGGATGTCAAAACAGTCTGAACAAGTCACCTGGAGGTCAAGTCCTGCTTGTCAGTGTTTTGGACCAAGAAGTCGGGGGATCCAATCAAGAAGCCACTGGACATCAAGAAACCACTGGCGCTCCAACTACCTCCGTTTGCAAGGTATTTGGCAAAATACACTTGGAGTGGTAGTACCTTCTGATAAGGCATTTGAAGACGTTCTGAGCCTGAGTCTTAGGAAGATATGAACTGTTGGTGTCAGTACCGTGAAACCCAACCCGAATCACCCCAAGATTCAGCCACTAGAGACGATAGCTAATTTCCAAAACGACACTCCCTGAAACAGAATATTCTGTTGCTCCTCTTTCAGGGCTGTTGTGTTGTGGGGAATGTCAATAGAGCCTTTCTCATCATGAGGACTTTGGAATCCCAAAGCCCCGTCAGGAAAACTGGCTGGAAAGAACTTAGGCACCAGCAGGACAAATGCTGGCTTTCCACTGCTCTTTCCCGTTGAAGACAGGGTAGACCCCTGCCTGTCACGCCGATTCCTCGACGCTTCATTCAATGAGAAAGCACATTGATGCCATCAATGCAGTAGAGAGTTGGCTGGAACACAGTACACTCTCTGGAACTAACATGGAAGTGGAACGTGGTCCCTTGGAAGACCTTTTCCTCTACAGAGGGTTTTCCACTTCCAGTGTTAGTTACAGGGAGAGTAAAGGTTGGAGGGTCACCCCTTGCGATCTTTGCCAAATCCCAGGATGATCTGCCCGTGTTTGAGGGCCTATGCAAAATGCAGGTCAAAGCATTTGGGTGTGGGTCGCATCAGCCTTAGTTTCTGACCACGCGCCAGTCCTGGTGTCAGGCTATACAAATGTCTCAGTGATGATGTGCAAGTCTCCAGTGTGAGCCGGAAAAGACACAAACAAACGTAGGATAATTCTATCAGTTCATCTACATGTGCTTAAAGCAATCTGTCATTTTCTGTTTGATCACTTCATGCAGGGTTGTGCCCAAAGTGCACCCAGCCAGCATGCTGGAACTTGGATCAGCACTCTACCCAGCACAGCACTCTACAGAGCACCACCATGCACCACCTGCATGGTATCGCCACGTTCAAAGTCCCGCCCGCACCGGGCACCATTGGCCTCCAGGGCACCGGTGGCTCGTGCGCGGAGCTCTTGCAAGGCGCCATCTGCGGTCCGGCGACACCGTCCGGCCGCGGATTTACCACGGAGCCTTCAAGGGGGTGAACCCAAACACGGCGCGGATTGACCAACGACCTGTTTTTGCAGAACACACACGCATATATATATATATATATACTGGCCACCCATATTTTAGGGGAGTAAACAGTATTTCTATGGCGGTGTGTACTGCAATGTATGGCCGTACATGTCTTCTGTCAGGAGATCACAATGCCCTGGGACCAGGAGCACCCCTTTGGAACATGACCGGAGGGGTGCTGAATGTTTACGATGTGTTCGCTCAAAACATCGTAAGCATACTGCTCAAAACATCGTAAGCATACTGCTCAAAACATCACATGGGGGTTGTTCAAAAGTCCTTTCATTTTTTTCCAGGCCTTTCGCAGGACCTTCGCGAAGCTTACGCAAGCTTTCGCGCGTGGGGTTTTACCACTGTCGGCGAAAATGGCTTTTCGTTGGGCTAGAGGCTTTCAAGGATTCATGCAGTTGCCCTGGCACGTCTTGTGTCCTCTGACCACTGACACATTGATTGCTGAGGAACAGGAAGCCAGCCAACCAAGCAGTTCTCATGTTGGTGTGTTTTTGGTTGGGCGCAACCCTCCATGAACAAGAGAGGGCTCAGTCAGGCCAGTTTGCTCAGACTTCCAATTTGCTTTTTCCCGGGCCGGGAAAAAGCAAAATGGTTCAGAGTTCCAATTTGCTTTTTCCGGGGCCGGGAAAAAGCAAAATGGTTCAGACTTCCATTTTGCTTTTTCCCGGGCGTGGAAAAAGCAAAATGGTTCAGACGGGAAAAAGCAAAATGGCCAGACTTCCAATTTGCTTTTTCCCGGCCCGGGAAAAAGCAAAATGGTTCAGGCTTCGAATTTGCTTTTTCCCAACCCGGGAAAAAGCAAAATGGTTCAGACTTCCAATTTGCTTTTTCCCGGGTCGGGAAAAAGCAAAATGGTTCAGACTTCCATTTTGCTTTTTCCCGGCCCGGGAAAAAGCAAAATGCTCAGACTTCCAAAATGTATCAGCCTTCCAGTTTGGAACCCGGCCTGGAAACAAGGAGCGCCTGTGGGGCTCGAGCCCATGACCTTCTGCTTATAAGCCTGGCGCCTTATCCATTAGACCACAGCTCTCCGAAAAATTTGCTTCTTCCTGGCTTTCCAAAAGCAAACTGGATGTCCAATCTGCTTTTCCGTCTCAAACTTCCAATTTGCTTTTTCCCGGGCCGGGAAAAAGCAAAGTGGTTCAGGCTTCCAATTTGCTTTTTCCCGGGCCGGGAAAAAGCAAAAGGCTCAGAGTTCCAATTTGCTTTTCCCGGGGCGGGAAAAAGCAAAATGGTCAAGACTTCCAATTTGCTTTTTCCTGGCCCGGGAAAAAGCAAAATGGTCCAAACTGCCAATTTGCTTTTTCCCGGCCCAAAATGGTCCAGACTTCCAGTTTGCTTTTTTCCAGGCCGGGAAAAGCAAAATGGTCCAAACTGCCAATTTGCTTTTTCCCGGGCCGGGAAAAAGCAAAATGGTCCAGACTTCCAGTTTGCTTTTTTCCAGGCCGGGAAAAAGCAAAATGGTCCAGACTTCCAATTTGCTTTTTTCCGGGCCGGGAAAAAGCAAAATGGTTCAGCTTCCAGCAAGAAGAGTGGAGTGGGGTGGGGTTTGGCCCTGTCGTCTTTCGCGTCCACAATGCGAACCTTTCGCCATACTTGCGCAATTTCCCACGACAAAGAATTTTCCAAGGGTCGGGAAAAAGCA